ACCAGGAGATCTTACAACACCTTCAGCTGTCCTGTGAAATATGAATTTTAATTTCCACCTAGGAGAAATGCTACAACCTTTGCATTCTCCTGTACCTGAAGAATGGTGTGTGCGCCGAAAAGCTTGGAAATAAAAACTTTTTGTTGCAAATATCTAGTTGGTCTAATACAATATATCACCTCTACCACAAGCTCTCATGCCATTTTGATGAAGATTTTATGTCAGACATGGAATGTGTTCAAATTATTCACTAAATAATACAAGCAAGGAGCAGGAAAGATAGCAAGTGTCATCTCAGAGGTCTGGATAGCATCAGCATATGTTTCTTTTATATTTATAATTATTCCTGAATTACAGCCAGCTAATTGAAGTCAGACTCTTTCTATTTAAGGTTAACAAGGTGTTTATAAAAGCAGGATTGTCAAATCACCTCAATAAATTAGCACCCAGTTCCAATTGACTTAAATCATCTTACAATGTAGAAAAATCTGTAAATACTTTGCATACAGAGTGCCAGGAAGAAACAGGGTACTGAGAAGTGAGAAGCAGGAGAGACTATGGCATGTGGGATATCAGTGTAATCAGAGAATTTCAACCTCCTTTCTCCCCTACCTGACCCACATTCTCCTATATGGCATCCTTATGAACATCATCTGCCTGTCAGCATCTCTCTTCCTGCTGCCAGTTTTCTTATAGAAAATATCATCAAGCCAAGAACTCTAGCAGACAGTTCTCAGCAGAGATAAGTTGGAAGAACGGTGATATGAAAACTGGAACACGAAGTGGAAATCTCACTGATAGAGAGATTTTTTAAGGCCAGAAGGAACAATTCAGTTATTTAATTTAACCTGTTGTATTACAAAGGCCATAGACTTTCAAACCATTACTGACTGTATTCAACCCAATAGCTTGTGTTTGATTAAAGCTGATCTGCTAGAAGGACATCTAGTCGTCATGAAATAGGGAATCTTCCAGACAGTGAAACTTGTATCCATTCCACTTTTGAACAAAGGTCAAGGATATCTAAGTTACTGAATGGTTTTATCTGAACATCATTGAAATTGAATCATATGCTGCTGGTATCTTTTAAGGGTGGTGAAAAGGACATTTTTCTTTATCAGTTGTATACGTGCCTTCTGAACAAGCTGCTGAAAATCTAAATCCTGAGAAGACTGTTGAAGAGAGAAGCAGGTCCAGGATTAATTATACATACCTGCTCAAGGGACAAAAGGGTAAAAAACAGGTGTTAATGCAGGCCTCAGTGTCTCCAATAAATATGTAGTGATACATACTGTCAAAGATCCATGTCTTAGTTATAAGGAGAATTAAAAGGGAGCCTTTTTTTCAAAGAATAAAATTAGTTGTTGCTTTTTAAATGAGTAGTCCTGCAGAACTTCGGAATAAATTTGATGTTCATCTATGCTAATATCCCAGTAGCTGAATACACAAGGAATGTGGGATCAGATATCTGTTAAAACAAAAAGTGCTACTTTACATGTAAAAAGCAGCTATAAAAGTTGCTGGAAGTTTGTAAAAGACTTTATCCCATTCTTAAAGAATATGTTGCTATACATCATGTTTTCTTAGGGCAGCAACCCAACACATATATAAACTCCACTGTCTTATGCCATGCTGTTTTCAGTCTGTTTTGGGGGTGTACCCGCCTAGTACATAGATTGTGCAGTTCCCTTGTTTTAATTCCTCTTTTGCTTTAAAAAAACAAGGTGATAAGAAGCCCCCTTTTGTGAGATGTTTCTTTTTGTTCCTTTCAAGTTAGAAGGTGAAATAGTAAAAATCTAGGACTAATCCCTGCAAGTTTTATCCATGCATGTACATGCTTAAAAGTCCTAGTCGATATTTTTTTCAGTGATAAGTATGAATTTTCCTGCGGAAGAAATTTATCAGGCTGCCCTACAGACCTTGATCTAAATCTATGAATAAAGCTAAGCTGTGCAATCAAGGTCCTTCTTACTGAAATATTGTCATCATTCCCACCTCAACTCACTCTCCTCTTTATAATTATCTTTTAAAAAAAAAAAATGACAGCTGATTTCACCCAGAAGACCAAGAGCAATCAACCCAGCATTGTTCTTTTAGAGGCTTTTATGCTAGGGTTGATGAGGGAATGTCAGAGAGCATTTCACTAGGCACCTACTAGCAATGTCAGAAATACCAATGAGTAGCTAAGAATAAGGTAAACCCTACCACACCATTCTTACTCCTACAGCATTACAGACAAACAGCTTTTGGGAAGTAATTAAATAAGATGAGACAGTGCAGAGGGGTGAAGCACTCCTTCAAAGCAGGCACATTGGAAACATAGCTACCCACAATTCAAGACAAGCTTGAACGCTTCTTGTGTATTAACCACTTGCTGGGCACGTCTACACATTCATTAATGCGCAGTAGTTACTGTGCATTTAGTTTAGTACTTGCTTAATGAAGTACTAACTAAATGTCCAGTAACAGCACTGGTGCATAGTATTTTTGTGTCACTTACTATGCAGTAGCCTAATAACACTGCACAGTAGCGTATGAGCACTTCTTTTGTCCAGCACACTACTGCAGTTTTAGGCTACTGTGCCTTAAGTATATCATGTAGATGCACCCTCTGGGTTTTGTTCTTACTTCTAATTTGCCCTAATCTTGTTGGCAAAACCCCTGAAACTAGAAGCTGTGAGACAACATTACCTTTACCTCTGTGTAGCCAAGTCATGGCCCATAGAGATTTTCAGTCTAGTGGAGTGAATAAGAGTTCCATCTGAGCTGAAATGCAATGAGAATCATTTCCTTCAAAAGAGGAAACGGTATTATAAGTAGCTGAGAACTGGAGCTATTTCAGTACTTAATCGCCTATTTAATTTTCCTTTAACTTTATCTCTTTTGTAGGAAAAAAGAAAGGGAGAGAAACAAAACCAAGAAGTACTGCCTGTACAGTAAATTTCCTTTTAAAAAGCATTCCTTTTTAGGAAAGTCACCTTTTAGAATAAAGGCAAAAATGGCTACTGTTTAATTCAGTCTTGAAAAAGCATCATGAAAATGTACTAGCTCATGCACAAAATCTAGTTTCCTGTCTTTTATTGAGATGATAGTGACAATATTTTATTAGCAATTTCTCAGTCTGGGTGAGTACAGTTTTGAAAGCCCCTCTCAGCCTGGACATGAAATACACACAACATCAGCGACACAACTCTACTAGGATGCTCATAGTTGTATACTATGGTGCATAATAACATCTTTCAAAAGGATGACACAGCTGCCAGAACGTGCCTCCACAGTTTCTTTATACCCAAGAAAAATGAAACAGATGGAAGGCTAAGTTGTCCTTACATATAGGTTAAGTCTTCCTTTGTGAATATCATCAGTAGTAATCCATTTTCTGACAAAACTTTGGACTGGTTTTCTGCCATCCTATAATAATTCTGCAGGCTAAAGATACTTTAGATAAATCAAAGCAGGAAATTCAGGATCATATTTCTAAGAAGAATAAAAAAAATCTATGCTCCATTAATCACTTTGGTCCCCTTAGTGGTAAGTACTGATCATATGACTTGTTGAGAAACAACTGGTAGAAATAGTCTACTGAGTGTAAAATACATTTATAAAGTCTCTGTACATTTTTTAACTATACAGTATAATTTAATTGAAATCTATAACTCTGCCTAAGAGATGTATAAGATGGTTTTTGGGGGAAAAATCTATAGAAAGGACATGATTCACAACTACCTTTTATCCATATCTATCTCTCTCTATCTAGCTCTATATATCTAGCTCTGTCTATAGCCCTCTATATTAGGGCTGTGCAAAATTTCACCAGGTACTTCATTTTGAAGCTGTGTTGATGCATTTCGAGCTCAAAACAGCAAAACTGAAATAAAACAAAAGGCTTCAAAATGAAACAAGGGCACTCAAAATGATTTGAAAGTTTTGAAACGTTTTGAGTTTCGAAGCCAGGCTTGCTTGGCTTCAGCGCCAGTCCCAGCCAGCAGCAGCAGCCTGCTGTCATCCTGCACACAGATCCAGGGGTCCACACCCCTAGGAGGAATCTGGCATAGCTCTGCAGCCCTCCCTGGGCGTGTGGGCCCTCAGATCCGTGCACAGGATGAAAGGAGGCTGCCGCTGCCAGCAAGTGATTCAAGTTTTCCTTTCAACTGTTTGAGATGCAGTTTCCCAGAACCCCCTGCACTTATCTCCTTGAAACTTGGCAGTCTTTGTTCCCTCAGAAGGGGCTACCATCCCTGCAATTTTCATCTGAATCAGGCAAGAAATGCCAAAGTTTTAGGCATTTTCATGATTTCCCATTATAGCCTATGGGCAAAACCTTGAAACAGCAAAACAGTTTCAACGAAACAAAACAGAACAGTTCTTCGAAATAAAATGAAACAACAAAATGAAACACTGTCTCTTTGAAATGGTGAAATGGAAGTTGAAACAAAACGGTGCTGTTTTGCATAGCCCAATCTATATCATATGTGGTCAAAATATGCTTTCACAAGTTATTTCCATAAAAAAGTTCATCCACAAAACAGTTTTTATGGAAATTACTTCCCCCAAAAAGTTTAATTTTTCATTGGAAAATTCTAAACCAAAAGGTTGAGTGATTGATTAAAAATTAAAATTTTCTGCTGAATGTCTTGTCTAAAGCACATTTTTTTCATTTTTCTTTTTTTAATGGAATAAAGAATCCATGTCTAACAAGCTTTAATACTTTTAAAGTAATCTCTAAAGAATGTTATTACATTTTATAGAACTAGATTGCTTTCATTTCTGTCAAATTCTATAGAAATCTTCCAAAGAGTTAAGTATATCTTCCATAAATGTGTGTATATTTGGATTGTTTCAAAGTAAGGGAGTATTGAATGAACTCAGATTCTCTTGGGGCTGGGGGAGAGGGAACCAAAGGCTGATGACTAAGGAATACTTTTGTTAAAAAAAAATAAGCTCTGTCAGTGAACATGCTTCTGAAACCTGATGGATTTTTTTTTCACTGTTTATTTCAGCTACTACTGAAGTGTCCTTTTCATTTGACGTTGGAAATGGCCCAGTGGAAATTGTGGTCAGATCTCCCAACCCACTCAATGATGACCAATGGCATCGAGTCAATGCTGAGAGGAATGTCAAACAAGCCAGTCTGCAAGTAGATCAGCTGCCTCAGGAGATCCGGAAGGCACCCACAGAAGGCCATACACGATTGGAACTATACAGCCAGTTATATGTTGGTAAGAAGCAAAGAAAACAGGGCCTGATTTTTCAGCTACTCCATTCCAGCCATGTCATATGCCTTCCATGGCAGTCACAAATCTACCATATTGAGTTAGCCTGCTTGCTTTCAGATGTTACTAACTTTAGGCATGTGTAGATGAAACAGGGGCCCTAAACTGAAGCAGTGGGATTTTAAAAAAACACTGCTTCAATTTAGGGCCTTTTAAACCCCAGTGTCATGTGTGCACACCACACTTACCTGCCTCTCCGGCGTCAGGGAGGAAAGGCCAAGCTGCTGGCAGGCTGAGCAGTCCCTGGGCTGCAGGGGGGGCTGGTGCTTCCCTCTGTGGCAGCGGCAGCCCACAGGCACCCGGCTCAGGCAGTCCTGGGGGGCACTGCAGCTGTGGAGGGAAGCACCGGGCCCCACTGCAGCTGATGTAGGCAGGCAGGCTCCAGGAGGTCAAAAAATAATAGATCAGGCTTGTCGCTTTTCTTGGGCAGAACCTGCCTTCCCAGGCTGCTGCCAGGCTGCCTGCAAGGCTTCTTGCAGTGCCCCTGAGCTGCTGCGCCCCAAGTCATTTAAGACGCATTACACCACCAAATTTCCTACAGCAGTAATTAATGTGCAATATGCCACTGATACATGCAAACACCGACACCATTAAAGCGGTACAAAAGCACTTAGCCTGCTTTTAAGTGCCGTGCACACATGCCCCTCATTTCATCTACACATGGCCTTTAACTATATTTTGGGTACAGAGAGGAGTGTGTTCTAGCAACACTTGTGCTTCTGTAGCTGTTAGCATCCACAGGGCTCTGGAGTAGAGGCATGGTGAGTGTCATTAAATGGAATTTTTATTGCATGAAATGATGAACAAAGAAGTACTTTCCTACTTCTGCTGGGAGCTGGGGGGAAGCCTCTGTTCCTTCCCCTAGCCCCCCATCATTCCCCCCAGCTTCTGGTTCGATCCCCCAGCTCCCAATCATTCCCCCCAAAGCCCCTGAGGCTTCTCCTGGGGCTGCCAGCACTGCCTGCCTCACCCCAGCAGAGGGGTAACCAGGGGAGCAGCCAGACAAGCTGTGGCTTGAGCCAGCAGCCCTGGGAGAAGCCATGGGTGCTGGGGGGAATGATCAGGGAGCTGGGGGAATCAAACCAGGAACTGGGGAATTGAACCAGAGCTGTGGGGAAGCCCCTGTCCATTCCCCAGTTCCTGGTTCAATCCCCCAGCTGCCTGATCATTCCCGCTAACCCCTGCGGCTTCTCTTGGGGCTGCCAGCACTGCCTGCCTTGTCCTAGCAAGGGGGCAGCCGGCAGAGCAGCTGGATGAGCTGCGGCTTCTCCCAGGGCTGCTGGCTCAAGCCAGTGCTCATCCAGCTGCTCCTGCTGGCACTGCCTAGTGCCTGCCTGTACAGTCTATGGCCAAATCTCTGAATTGATTCCAAGGCTTCCGATTCAATTCAGATTCAGAGATTCGGGCGCTGAATCAGGCCATATCTCCTCTGAATTGAATCTGCTAACAAAGCTTTGGACAGCCCTATCAGAAAGTTCTTCCTAATTTCCAACCTAAATTTGGTCTGCTGCAGTTTGAGACCATTGCTCCCATATAGCCACAGAGAATAGTCTAAATGAAATGAGGAGACCTGGGTTCCATTGCCTACTCCATCAAGAGAGGAATCTAAGGGCTGCCACCTCCAGAATAACTTGTAAAGTAGAGATGAGGGCACTTTCCTCAGAAGTTGGCAAGGTGGGTCCAGATCTGCTTATGCAGTCAAGGGAACTGAACCTGTGTGTCCCACAGCTGGAGTGAACATCCTATTCAATGCTCTATTGTGTACGGCTGCTTGCAAATGTTTGGGGTTTTTTAAGTGCTTTACCAGACGAAGGAACGTGTTACTTTGACCCGGCTCTGCAAAATCTGGATAGATAAGGTGCTTCAGTGGGGCTTTTTGGTGCTTTCAGCTAAAGCAAATTCAATCAGCTATCAGATAAAAGGATAAAACTATACAGGCGATGTGCAAGCCAGGTCCAACTAACATGCTGCCTCTTCTGGGCATATGCTGGGCTCCGCACGGGAGCACAGAGTTTAAAGTAAAGCACCCTTTTTTTTTTTTTGTCTGCAAACAGTAAATGTCCGCTGCCAATATCTACTTGCTTCTGTTTTTTGTCACTCCAGCCCTGAAAGTTTATTGCCAACCTGGTAAATTCAGCCTAATTTATTAACAGTTTCAGGCTCTTTTTCAGCAAATTATTCACCAAAAAAAACATTGCCTAGCTTAAGATGTAATCATGACTCTCTTGTAGTATGTTGCTCTGTGTGTGCTTAGAGAAAGGTCACTTGGGCCCAAATTGTTGGTCAGCAGTAGCACTTGCTATAAGAGGTTGTTATCATCATTAGTAGTATCCAGCAATATCAATATAAACATGACTATGCAAAAATAGATTAAAGCATTGAACCCATTATTTACAGCTCTTCCTGTTTTCACAAATGGAGGATCTGGCCTAAAAACTTACCATTATTGGATATTGATTCCCTAATGAATAGGGATCTTAGGCCTTTACAAAAACAATCCCAAATTCCCTTATCTCCATCTGTGCTGATTATTTTGTGTACAAAAGATATAATGTAATTTAACTCCTTGTTCATAATTTTGCATTCTCTCTCAGGTGCTGCAGGAGGCCAAAGAGGATTTCTGGGATGTATTCGCTCCTTAAGAATGAATGGGGTGACTCTGGACTTGGAAGAGAGAGCAAAAGTTACTCCTGGGGTGAAACCTGGCTGCTCAGGTCATTGTACCAGCTATGGAATGTACTGTGAGAATGGAGGCAAATGCGTTGAGAAGTACAACGGCTACTCATGCGACTGCTCCAGTACTGCATATGACGGACCGTTTTGCATAAAAGGTAAAAGCCCTAGTGCGATAAATCAAACTGCCTGGAAATAATTTGGCTCAAAAAAAACACCCCACAACAGAATAACTGATAGATTTGGTCATATTTGTTAAATATAAGATAGTTGTATCCCTTAGTATTCCCTATAAGCATAATGTTAGCCACCATTATCCATTCTAAAGGATTTCTACACCCCTCTTTAGTGGCAATGTGTGTGTTCCCCATTTAAATCCAAAGGTACATGAAAAAAATAAACCTTAAAACTCTCTGTACACTTCACAGCAAAGTCAAGTTATTATCTTAAGCTGCTGAATAATAAGTTCCTATTTGCACAGGGTAGTGTTTATTAATTTAAACTAAAGTGAGGGGGTGAAAGCACTATCCTGAACTTTCCTAACAATGAAATATTTAGTACAGGGCCTGAATTTGAATTTTTTTAGATTGGAGGCCAATGTTTAGATTAAAACTCTCTCAGAGCTTTGGCTATACAGATCCAGAAGTTTCAGAGAGGTTAAACAACCTGAGTCAAGATGTAGAGAGACGGTAGTGTGTTTTGAATGGGCACAGTGGATAAAAAAGCAAATGTCACATTCACTTAGTGCATTTGAACTGGTTTCAATATTAATTAAACTTAAAATTTTAACCAGCTTTTAATTTTAAGGAAGATTTCTATTACAGTATATAGCTACCAACCAGTTTTTACAGCTATTGTCCAAACATTGCAAAAAAACTGCAGGTGATTTTTTTTTCAGTTTCCTGTGGGTTTTTGGATCAACAGTGATTAAATAAGTAGTTTTCAGAGCTGCAGTTTCTCAAACCACTGTACATTTTGCAAATCTTACAGCCATTCTTTTGTTTCCATACAATTTCATAAGGCGTTGCTATATTTCTTTGCAACTAATGCCACAGATTTCATCAAATATTCTTGAGATGCTAATCTCTCAAAACAGTCCTCTTTCACTATATGTTATGTTTTAGAAAGCAATAAAATCACCTATTCTATTTCCTAAGTCTTTCTAAAAGCTGCTTCATGTGGTGCTAACATCGCAATTTCAGCTAAGATTACTTACTGCACTTTTCAACGGTTTTCATAATTCTAAGGGAGCCTTAAAGTCTCATAAATTGTCTATCATAGTGTTCTGTTTTTAAATTACACACTACCAGTGATCCTATAGGCAGGGTCAGTTCTCCACCCATCAAATTTCCCTTAAGTAGTTCATAAAGACTATAAGGAATAAGTACTTTTTTTTTAGTATTCAGTTTCCCAAATCCTTCACAGCTGTTCTTTTTCTTTCTTCCAAAGCCAGCCCTCAAGCATTAAGAGTTTGAGCTTTTCCAACCATGCATAAATGGACTGATTTGAAAGTAGAAAGGGCAGATTGGGGAACTCATCACTCATTCCCTGGTGTATTTTCCCCTCCCAGGCTTTGTCCCCTAGTCTCTCTCACTTCCTTCCCTCATACAATAAGGACTTATTCTTTGTGCAGAATGACTGACAAAGTAGATCCTTTTTTCTGCCCGTGTGTGGATTGCTTTTGCCTGGACAATTCTGATGAATTTCTGATAGATTTTGTTATCAATTCCAGTAATTGTGATGAATTTGTTGTTCAGCAGAAGGGAAGCATGTGATTACAGGGCTATTCTAGTTACTTGTTTCTGCTGTGCTTCCATAACAAGAAATTGGAAGGGTGCAAAATTCATCGTTTCATTGTGCTATGGGGCTTCAAAAACAAACTGCAGGAAGGTACCCATCACTTCCAGAACTGCATTTGTACTCAGTCTGCAGACTTTTGGGAATGTGAATATGATTACCTCAGTTAATCTGTAGTCTACATGAAATACCTACCATAAATAATTTGCCACAAGTTGGAGGATGAGTTGCAGTGTGCTTTTAGAACTAACCCAGGACCACCAGAGTTATCCCTGGAGGGAGCTCCTTCAGAAGAAAATAGAGGTTGTTTTTAACAATGCCATTCCCTTAAATATCATATGCATTGATTTCAGAAAAGAGATGCTGCTGTGTTCCAGTGAACTTGCTTTTAAAAATTATTCTCTTTCACCAAATCATGTCACATTTTTTCATGCTTCTTTTACGGACAGGTCAGAGCACAATGGCACCTTGTAGACTAATTCAGAAAGGCATAAACCTTCATAGGCAACATCCTTCTTCATCAGATGTCATGCCATCTGATGAAGTAGATTCTCAGCTACAAAAGCTGATGCTTTCCTAAATGAGTTAGTCTCCAAGGTGCCATGATGACCAACTTCAAAATAACATTGCTAACTACCTCTCTCCCTTGTTTCTTTTACAAATGAGTAAGCCACAGATTGAATAAGTAGTAGCCTAAGGCTTCTCCCAAAGCTAGAGCTAAACAAAATATTTTATACGTCCTAATTTTAACTAAACAGTGTATAGAAATATCATAAAGGAATTTGTACATTCTCTAGAATAACAGGACCTTATTTTTATCTGGTTCATAGACAGTGCCGTAGTAAAAATTATAATTAATATAGTTACATTATTTTTCTATATCAATAGGAAATATTTTCCTATCTCTGATATACTATATACTTACAACCTAATTAGAAGCAGAGTATATGAAAGAGTACTAAAAGCTTACACAGCGCTTCATCTTTGGATGTCAAATTGTTTGAAAAATGTTAGAAGACATTATTATTCCCTTTATTTTTATGGGGGATTGAGAGAGACAGTTTAAAAGTCAAAATTTTAAAAAGGACCTCTAATTTTGGGTTTCATCAGTCTTTGCCGGTCCTCTTTTTAGTCCAATATTTTTACAAAAGTACTGAGCACCCACAATTTCCTCTTAATTCTTTGAAGATGTGAATCAGGAAATCAAGGTTTGGGTATTCAAAGCTTGATATTAAAAATCACAATGATTTTTTGGAAATATATCCCTTAGTGATTTGCCTCAATTCACAGAGTGAGTCACTAGCAATCCTGAGTGTAAAACTTGGCTTAGCTAATTGTCAATTATCTGTTTGAACACTAGATCTAGGCTTAGGAAATCTCAAATATATTTTATAAATTAAACTGTTTCAAGCTATCTCCAGATTTTTGTAATTTGACTATTGTCATTTTTTTTAGTAAGTACTAAAATTTGACTTTTTTTGAGAAGTAGGCATCTCCTTCCTTCAAATCTAGTTTAGTGTTTGTGTCTTCACAGTGGTTTTTCATTAAAACATTCATCAAATAAAAAAGCTTAAGGGTAAGTTTAGATGCAAAACAAGTAGCTTCTTAAACATCCCATGATCAAGGTAACTGTGAAAACATGAAATAACCAGTGCTGGTAATGAGACCGCTCAAACACTTCAGTTTCAGCCCATTGAATTTTACATTGTAAATTTAGCTTGCATTTGACCTTGTAAATCCAGTGAAATACTGGAACATCTTGTAAACGTTGCCAAAGTCCCCATGTTTTCAAGTAAATTGGATCCTTCCTTTTGTTTCTAATAACACCTCAAGGAGTGTTTTACCGTATGCTTCTTCTTCATGAAACAAGACTTGTTCTCTACTGGATGCAAAGAGAAAATACAAAAACGGTACTTGAAAAGGAAATGATACACTGGCAAACTTGCAAAGCATGCTCTGTAAACTGTAATGAAGAGTAAGATAATCAGATATCAAAATGTTGTGCTTCAGGCATAATTTCAAGAGAACAGGCCAGAAACTTCACATATCTGGAATTTTGACTAAATTTCTCATTGAAATTGTCTTTTGGCACATCCAAATGATTTAAGACCATTTCTGTGAAGCTAGTATCCCTTTTTTTAGCTAGGTCAAATGTTGAATTTTGGAGCTAGCTTGAATAGCATTGTATTACTTGTGCTTTTAACTATAGTTACAATGTGAAGATCCACATTTATTGATCTCTTACCCAGTCATTATTGCATGCATAAGTAAGAGTTAATTGTACACTTTTTTTCACCCAGCCAAATACATTATTTGGTGCCTTTGTCAGGCCTAAGATACATAGCTGCTCTTAAGAAGTATCACTTACACATGGCAATACTTTTTCTTTTCTTAATGTGTGTGTCTTTTTTTGTACATCAAAATAAGAAACTGACAGCACTGGCTAGAGCCAGTAGAGAGCAGAGAAACGTATTACTTCTATTTGCATGTTCCAGTTGACATCTCCCTTGGCAGAGACTGCAAATCATGCTGCATTGTTACATAGTTTAGTAATGTGCACATTGGACCTGGGATGAGACAACCAAGCTCATTTTCCCCTTTGTAGCTAAGCTAGGATTTGAGTGCAAATCTCCAGAGCTAAAAGTTAATACATTAGTTCTAGGAGACTATATCTGGTACATTTCTCACCATGAATAAACCTTCCACAGACCTATAGATCTGAGCAGTGAGAATCAAGTTAATGTCAAATAGAGCCAATGGAATAGCAAAATACTATTCAGTGGGCGTGTCTACATGAGACACTTTACTGCACAGAAAATTTAATTTCTGTGAGCATGGAGCTGGGCAGGGAACAGGCTCTACAAGCTCCCAACCCTCTCCAGCCTGTTCCTTTATGGTATACATTTTCACACCCACTCATAAGCATCACTCATGCTCACATACACAACATCCCAGACTTTTCTATTCCACTATACTTGGTGACTGGCATCAGGGGTAATATGAAAAGTCTAAGCTAATAAAATACCATTGGCATAAGAGACTGCAACTACTGAATGCTTCACAGGGTATCTGCTCGTCATGCACAGTTAGGATATTTTTATTTATTAAACTTATCTGGAGAATTACTGATTAGTGACTGGAGAAAAATTGTACTGTCTCCAGTCTAAGTAACAGTAGGCAGTACATGTGATTGACACAGTAGGTATCTGCATATTACTATCCCTGTAGGAAGACAAAGTTGCCAAAATGTACTTTGATTAGTATTAGTATTGCCAGTTTTTTGTTGTTGTTGGTTGTGCAACTGGCTATCATTCTTCTGTTCAGAACTGTTCAGTGAAATGGCTGCAATACATCTGAGTCT